GCAGGATCACATTAGATGCTTGGTAATTTATTTCTTCACATGTTTTTTCAGTTGCTCAAACTCGGGGTCCTTACAGATGGTATTGACATGCACTAGGCTCCCGCGAAAGCCCTTGAATTATCTGCAGGGAAGAGAAAAGTACTAAGGAAAAATCTAAAGTTTCTCTGAACCTCTGTGGCAACCGTAAGTGACTGAAGCTCCTGAAAAGGTATGAGCAGGTTCATTTTGTCTTCCTGAATCCTGTTTTTGGGGTCCTTCCTGGAATGTCTCCTTGTTATTCTGTGGAGCTGTGATGTTGCACTTGGAAGATAGCTTTGCTTGGGACTTGGGAGAAATGGAGGCAGACGGGGAGCCAGATCTGCTAGGAACAACTAACACCAGCGTTCATGTTCCTCGTCTGCTGTCGGTGAGGTACAGGGGAAGGACCCAGGGGTGCCCCCGAGAGAGGGAGAAGAGGGGATGGTCCCTGCTGAGTGCAGCCGTCGGGACGCGCAGCCGGGAAGCAGAGCCAGGCTGTGCTTTTGCCTCTGCGCAGGGCTCACCGAGAAAGGGTTTTTCTCAGTGAATGCAGTTCTTGGGGCTGTGATCAACTGTATTTTGCAGCTCTACAGCTTTGCAATCTGTGATAGGAGTGTTTTTGTCCAGGTCTAACCTTGGTCTTCTCAGATAAACTGAACTTGTGTTATCCTTAGCGCGGCTGTGCTTAGACTCCTGGCATGTTTTACCCTCCTTCTGATAAGTACCTGACTGCTGCATGTGAATGGGTGACATCAGGTCATAACGGATGGCAAAGCAACTGTCCCAAGCATGAGGTGTCAGGTCCACCTCAGAGAAGAGGTGGATGCATGGGAGGAAAAGCCTCCCTTGCCTCAGAGCTTCTTGTTCCAAAATAGCAGGTGAGGGGAGACTTCTGCTCCTTTCCATCATCTCAGACTATTTTTGAGAGTAAATAAATTGCTTGGTTTCCCATTAGTTGACAAATGTTGTCTATCCCCAGCATGATGTTTGCTAGGAGGGTTTATCCATTTTGTACAAGTGATTTTTAACATGACAGATAACTGATGTGACTTTAGTATGCAAGAGTCTCGAAGTTTAGCCACCCCATCTAAAAGCTCCCCTCGTTGTCAATGGTTCAGGGCCTTAAATGACAACATCAGATGTGCTCTGTTTTTTTTTTTTTTTTCTTCTTCCCTCCAGTCATTTCTCTAAACTGCTTCTTTGCTTTCCCAGTGCTCTTCATCATTGGTATCATGTAGCTTTTAACCCTCACGGCCTCAAAAGCACTTGCAACCACTTAATCTGGTTGCCTTCCCCAGTTCTGTATCCACCTATGTGGATTTGTTATGGGCATGTAAACGCTGGCTGAAAACTTAAAGTACCTGTTTTTTCTTCGGTGGGAAGGCTGCTTGAAGTCAGGCTGCTGCTGAGTGAATAAACATATAGAAACGGGGTCTCTCTCTGATGATATTGAGATTTCTAGCTAACTTCTCCTTCCGGTGCCCTTAACGCCCGCACATTCTTGTCATATGCAGGGCATGGTGGTCCTTTAACAGAGCAGGTCTTGAGGGGCTGAGATAGCAGCAGCAGCCCCCCATCTGTCTGGGTTAGCTCTCGCAGTGGTTATATTGCTCACAGCGCAAAGTAAATACCAGTCCCTGAAGAACATTGGTCTTTGTAGCAAAGGGGTTGTTCATGGCATATTGACCTGTGCTGAACTCCGAGTAAATCACAAGGCGTTATTGATAGCTGCAGCACAAATGTAGTAAGTGGCACCTTTTGCTCTGTGTAAACATCCTACGCGTGCCTGCGAGACCAGTTTTGAGGCCTGTCCCAGTGAGAGCCCTAAATTCACGCTTGTTTTCTGCTTTTGACTCCCAGCATGTTTCTCAGTTGCCCACTAAGTTGTTTGGAAGCGGCTGCTTCTTGGCTCCAGATGTTTGCCAATGAAATGTCTGTCTGTGCTAATAGATGTTTTGTGCTGGAATTTTGAAGAATAAAACAAAAACCTCTCAGGAAAAGCAGGAGAGCTCAAGAAGCACACGTAACGTTTGTGACCAGTCATCCTTGCTGTGTGGGCCTCTTGCCTGAACCATTAACTGCACAGTGAAGATCTTTGAGACCTGTTGGAAGCGCCTTTTGACCCTGCTCTCATTCATCTGGCCATTAATGGCTCGTTCAGGGATCCACAGAGTTTAGAGCGACCAGCAGAAATTGCAGCTGGCCTGGTCGCTGTCCTGCTGCTCACAGCTCTGTCTCCTGGCTTGGTGCAATAACTCAGAACTGACTCTCTGCCTTCCCTCCCATGCTTTTGGAGCCAGCCGTGGGTGTGTGCCGGTTACACTGCTGCAGCTGACATCAGCATCTTAATTCTCATGTTGTAGCCTGGCTTAAAAAACAGACGTATTTTTCTCTTCTCTGTCGAAAACAGGAATGACTCCTTGTTTTTTTTGTGAAAGAAACATATCAGGCCCAGGCAAGAAAACAATAATCAACTTGGAGCAGCTGCCTGTGTTCTCCTTCAGCCCGACTGTGTTTCTCAAGATACGGCAGAAATGCCAAAGAAGTGATGCCTCTCCTGGGAGGGAGCTGGATGACTCTTGGTAGAGGAGCTCCAGCAGAAAGCTTCAACCACAAAGGGTGGGGAATAACAGCTGATCTAGGCTGAACGATGACCTCACCTTTCTTGAAAATAAGACATGGTTCCTTACATTTTTCTCATGGAAAAATCAAATATTTCCACAAAATCCCAAACTTCTTTTTTCTGCTGAAAATTTCACTATTTTTTTCCCTTAAGAAATTCAAAGTCTGCTTGTTGGAACACTACCCACCAACTCTATAGGTGGGCCAAGGAATTTTCCAGGGCTAGCCTGAAGTTTCCACTCAGTGATGTAAGGTGATTTTGTTAAATGGCCAAGCAAAACAACTGCTGTTGAGAACTTTAGTACCTGCTTTAGCCCTTATAAAATTCCCAGCAAAGTGCAAAGGTATTTCCAGAGCTATTTTCAACTTGCTTTTTAACTTGCATTTGCTCTAATGCCCTGAGTAGGATTTAATAAATCCCTCTGCCTCATTTTGGATGCCTAATTGGTTCTGAATTTGCTTCAGATGAAACTTTTAAAATGTATCCCACGACCCTGTAAATATAGTATTCCTTTCTATCCCTTAAATAGCCACCATCTCTTTTCAAACATTATTTTGTGTTCACCTTCCTGAAGTCCAGTTTTAAGTAAATATTTTAAACTTGGAGGGGCCTCTGCTTTCCACTCTCCTGGCTTTGCTGAGGATGGCAGGGGTTCCACTGATCTATGCTGGTAAGCTTGAGATCAGCTCCAAATTTATTTCTGGCCTTTCATTGGAAAGCTATTCTGGTCGAGCACGACTCTTGGGCTATTTAAAAAGGGGAAGGGAGCCCCAGGGAATCTGCTCCAAGTGCCAGTAGTGTCACCCTTGGAAAGGCCCTGCTTTTATTTTTCTTTCCTGTCTTGCAAACTCAGTGTGGTTGAAAAGGGCTGGAGTGAATCCTGGAAATGAAAGGTCCTGCTAAGCCGTGGAAGGAGACAGGAGGGGAGACATCAGCTGTTGGGAAAAGCTGGGCCATCCTGCCTGGATAACAGCAAAGGGGAGAGCGGGGCCACCTCTGCGGCTCCGCGGTAAATCGTGTGCCCTCCTCCCCAGGGCATGACAACCACCACCCTCGGCCTCCTCCACAAAGGCTGTCGATGCCTTCGTACCGGTTTGGGGCAGAACCAGACCAAGAGATGATTTTACTTGTATTTCTAAAGCTCTCAATATATTTTTTTGTCCATCTGATTGGTAGCATGTCAGCATGCACTGGGAAGGCTTTGTAACAGAGCTCATAACTTCTTATTTTCTTTTTAAGAAGGAATACTTGGCTTTCACTGTCTCACCAGGGGTTTCTTCATATGCTTTGAAATGTGGCTATTTGTGAGGCCGTGTTGGGATTTTTTTTCCTCCTCTGCATTTCTTATCCTGCTTCCTCTGGTTTGGACTTACAGTGGTCAGAAAAGATGGTGTTGAAACAGCCACTTAAAGTTGCTGGCTGTTTGCAGCTTTAAAAGACCTATTTAACTCTTGATATCAAGTGATATTAAAATCAATAATTGGAAGAGAGGGAGGTTATCTATTTTAATCACCTTAATTGGGGTAATTGCAGGTAAGAGAAGGGCTCCCAGGGCTCCCTGCCGGGGCGATGCCAAGTACCTGTAAGGACGCTGTGGGGAGGCAGGTTGGAGCCCTTGCACTCCCACTGGAACGCATCCCGGAGGAGAGATGTGTGCTGGGAATGTTTTTCCTAGAAAGCCACTGTTACATGGCATTGACTGGCTGTGAATATTCATGTGCAACTCGCTGCTGGAGCGGCGCGTGAGCGGAGCCGTGGCAGTGCTAATGGCGATGGAAAGTGCTAATTTTCACACTGTGGTGAAAGAATCCCAATTTGCAGAGATTTTGCTTGAGTCAGGGGTGAAATTTCTGACAGTTTTAAAGTGTGCAGATGTGAAATGCTGAGTTTGTATTGCACCCCTCTTAAAATACTTTATCTAATCTGAAAGATTCCCAGACTCTGTGTTACTTGTTACTTTGTCAAACCCACCTCTTTTTTCCTTCCCGGAGAGGTTGAAGTGCTGACTTATTATTCAGTTTTCTATTGCAGCGTTGTTTAGTTGAGTTTATACATTCTTAGATCGGACATTATACAGTCTGACCAGGGATCATGCAATCGCAGTGGGAGATGGGAAGAAGCAGTATAATTTATTCTTTAAACAAAGGGATCACCTACATTAAAGCACAAGCTAGTTAATAAAAATGGGTTTTAGCAGAATAAAGGCATGCAGTGTTCCCTGGGCTGTGTTTAGATATAGTTGGAGTCAGATGAGGAATCTGGTACCCTTCTGTTATCAGAGAGATTGGCATCATCCTCTGTAAGGAGCTACCTAGGTGAGTCTTGTCTGGATTGCTGTGTTTGATGAGAAGCTCCTTACCTGATCCCGGATCAGGATCCTGGCCCGATCCTTGCTGCAGGCCGGGTTGTGGGTGCCAGCAGAAAGGCTCAAGGGCATCGCAGTCGTTACCCTGTGATGAGCCAGCTGTGTGGGGCTGGAAGCATGCCCAAGCTTGAGGAGCTGGTGGTAGCTCTGAGGACACTTATCAGACATGGTAACTGGTGACATTCAAGGACCACTAGATCGTACTATTATCTGCACCTTGTCCTGGATGTATGTGGGCTGTATCCTTGTAGGACAGATTCACGATCTCAAATCTCTAACTTGGGCAAAATTGCTGTGGTTTGACTGCTGGGCAGCGATAGGATTCTTAGTCTGTTTGCTGGATAACAGCATATTCAGAAGCTTAAAAAAATTTATTGAGTTGGGTGTGACTTATGGGTCTTTCAAATTGCTGCTTCTGAACTGTGAGGTCTGAGAAAGAAGAGGAATCTGATGGGCTCTTCTGAGGATCTATTCTGGTGGGGGTAGGAAACAACTCTTGCCATCTCTGCTGTATAACCCCAGGAAGCATGAGCTGGTTGAAGAATAACTGCATCCAGCAAACATGCAGAAGGATGCTGGAAGGGAAGTCCTAGTCCTAGTGAAATTAATGGCACAATCCCTTTGGCTTGAGTCGGGGTAAGATTTCACCTTGGGCCTGCACCGGGTACAAGTGGAGTTTCCCCTGGACCATAAACCAAGACTCGGTGGAGAGTCGTTGCACAGACGTGCACACAATAGCGCTCTGAGCCCGTTCGCCGAGGCCTTTCCTCGGGGATCCATAAAAAATACCTTTCACAAAAGCTGCCCTGTGTGCAAGGAGAGGAACTCCGTCTCGTGACGCAAAAAAAGGAAAAGCCAACAAAACCTCCTCACACATGTAGTCGTGTACCTCTTATCTTGCTGCCGGCCTGCTGGAGATATCAACGCAGCCAAACAGCATACACTAAGCACGGGTGACACTGAAGTGCTGCCTCAGAGTGCTTTGTGGCCCTGTTCTGCATTCTGCCCACGCAAAAAAATGTTCCCTTTGTCATGGCAGTGAATGAATATTCTTGTTCCCTTTTCTCCTTGGATTTATGTTAACCCTGGGCTTCAACTGAGTTTGATCTCCTTACTTTATTGTATCGCAAACAGTAGTCAATAGCTCTTCAGCTCGCGATTGCCTGGATTTATTTTAAGGTCAAGTCAACTCTCCTTGACCCAAGTCTGAACAAAAATACATTCCCAGAAGATTCCCCCACAGGATATCGGATCCAAAGACAGAGTGACATTGTAATGAGTTCAAGGTTTCGGTACAACAGAATCCTTGTTGTTGTGGAGAAGGCAACTGAGCCATTTTTCTTGTTTCAGAGCTGGTCCGTCTCGCGGGGCATTTCAGAGCTGATTTTGACATCTGCCAGTTACTTCTCTTCATGGAATGACGATATCGGTTGCAGTCTTGGGATTTGCTGTCTAAAAGGAAATGGGCTCCAGATCCTGATGCGTGTATTTGCACAGGGGCTAGCATGTGTGCGTAGAATTTGATGTGCAAGCTTTAAGCTCTTGATGAGCTGGCATGCGTATGTGGTCATTGTGGCCATTTTATATTGAGAAGGGAAGGTAGGAGCCCTTGTAAGGGCTCTTTCTGGTGATGTTGCATCATAAAATAAAAATACCGTGTTGAAGGATTGGGACAAAAATGGAACAAGCTCATGAATTTGTCTTGGATGACAAATCGCCCTTAAAAAGAAGGCAGCCTTATGCGTCGTACAAAAGACTGTTTATTTCTTCTGGGGGAAAAAAACAGTAATGTAATCGGATAGGATTAACTTTGCAGGGGCCCTGGACAGAAGCTAAAGCACAGGCCTGCTGCTCCTTGGCCTCACACTGGAAAAACTGAGCTCCTGATGTGGTCTAAGATCTCTGGCTTCCTACGGACAGGGCCATGGGCAGTTGGCAGTGACTTGTACCTAAAGCCGGTGCTTGGGACCCCAGTAAAACAAAGGATTTCTACAGAAACAGAATCACCCGAATGCTTGGCTGGTATAAGCTGCTGGTCTGCGGCTGCTTGTCTCAGCTGGGAATCTGGCTGGGTTCAGGGGAAAATATGGCCTTAGTAATGTTCTTCACCTCTAGTGAGTAGTTAAATGTATTTATGGCAAAAATATAAAAAATGTAGAACTTAGTGTTGCAGTAAGAATCCTGTGATTAGTATGGGCTGACTTTGTTGTTTTGTCTGTTCATGGTTAATGTTGCATTAACTTACTTTATTTTTACCTTTTCGTTTCATTACCTGAGAGCAGCCTTGTGTGCACTCTAGTCAGCGGGACCAATGATGCTTCAAAGTTTTCACCTCACTGGGATTAATGGGGAACTTTTTACTGAGATAGCTGGATTGGCAAAAGGGAAAAGAAGAGCAAAAGTCCAAAAGTTTTCTGCACGTGTATGTTCTTTTTTCATGCAAAAGTCTTCATGCAGCTCAGGCGAAGGGCTTGCGTGGAGATCTTTTTCCCTGTTCACACAGCAGATTCTACAATCTGGATTTTAGTCTTTTCAAGCAGACCTTGAGGTTTTGGAGAAGATTGTAAAAACCCTAAGATGACCTACAGCAGTCATGTGCCCTAACTTAGTTATTTGGGAGTATCCCAGCCCTTTAGCATCCTTGTTGGCTAAAGCGATTAACTGGATTAGCTCAGAATCTAGGCTCTCCTGATAAAACATGGCCATTTGCAACTGAACAGCTCACCCTGGGCTCCCCATGCAGGCAGTGGGAGGGCAAGGAGCAATTTGTCTCCTCCTGGAAGAGGTGCTGATGTTCAGCCTGATAGGTCTCCTCTTGTGCTTCAGGACCTGGCTGTATCTTGCTTGACTGCTTGGGAGCGCACACAGGAGCACAGATAGAGATGCAAACGCAGAAAGTTGAGAGAGGTAAATCCTATCTTAGACCTCCATGATGGGACAAGTGGAGTTATCTGTGCTCGAGCTAGTTAAGACTCTGACATGGTCAAAGTGGTGCAAATTGTTGTAGCTCAAGAGCTGCTCAGCAGTCACTGCTGGCCTGGGCTGTAAGCTTAAACTATCTTCTCTCCTCATTAATGTGGATGGCGAGTTGTCACAGGGAAAGAACGTAGAACAGTCACTGTAGAGTAACTTGGGTGTGTGTCAGAGACCCTCCTGTAGCTCTTGAGTGCAGCCACATGGCAGAACAGCATGGGACCCTCTTGGGATGACTGCACTTGTGCTTATGGGGTTGTGTGGAGTTGCTCAGATTAGGCAGGAGGTGGATTCCAGTCTGCTCCAGACAGTTCAGGGCATGTGCCACAGTAGGACGGGAGGCTCCTGGGGAAAGGAGAGGTGGGCCCGGGACACGGGAGCAGCCGCAGCAGGGCTCTGGGCTGTGTTTTTGCAGTTGGCAGTCCCGTTTGCCCAAATCCTGAATGACTCGCTGCTCTGGGAGCTGGGAGATCCTGGCATTCCCAAGCCATCTGAACCCAGCAGGAGAATGCCACATAACTCCCAGTGAACAAGAGTCTGTTCTGGGGAGAGGTGGCTCCAACGCATCTGTCATCTCACCTGCCATTGGTGTGTGTTGGGCCAGACAGTGACTGTTCACAACGAGTCCTCTAAAAACGACCCTTCACATTCGTTTACTTAATATTTCAAGGAGCTGCTGCTAAATCAGGGTGACCTTCATTCTGAGCTCCCATGCACGGGCTTAGCTCCAACAACTCCAGTCAAGCTATGCTGACTTTCAGCAGCTGGGACTTGGGCCCTGCTTTTAATGTCCCTTACCGAGTACTCATGTAGTCAGTGTTCCTTGCCAAGGTTATATTTGCTTTCCTTCCTAAAGGACAGCTCCAATATCATACTTTAAAATAATGTGTCCTTTTTTCCCCCACAGAGAACAATACGATATGCCACTGTCAAATTAATGTGTTCATGAAAAGCGAACGTAATCTTCCCAGTAGATCCCCTTTCCAAAAGATTTATTATTTAATGAATTTTTTTATTTCTTACCAGTATGTAACAGTTGGTCATTTTACACCTAGCAGGACTTTTTTCCCATTGAGGAAGGCAAAAGGAGGACAGATTTGATCATCCTAATTTAAATCCCCTCTTCCTTTCCTGTTCCTGTGTACCACTTGTAACACCTACTGCTAACGGAAGTCAGAACCTGGTTTTCCATGAGGTGGCTCCTGTCTGCCCATGACGCACACGTCACGACGCTAATCAGAGACAATACTGCACGAAGAGGAAAGATTTTGTTGTGCTTATATAAAAATCAGGGCCTCTGAAAAATGTGCCTGGCTAGTTGCTTAGCTGCTCCAGGCAGGATTTCTTGTTCAGCATCCTGTTTTATCTTCCTCGTGGTCGCGCTCTGGTGTGCTTCCAACTAAAATGCAATGATGCCAGCAACCAAGCCTCAAAAAACATCTATAGGTTATGCCTTTATTTGAAGGCAAGGTGGAAAAGAACTGTGAAGGAGAGAGACGTTCCAGATAATTATAAGCTTCACGAGTAATGTTCCTAATTACAATGCCAATTGATTTCTCCCAAAAGCTGTCTGTGCCCCAGGAGCGTCATTGTCCCTGTTTTCTGGGGGAATGTGTGCCATATCGTGGCTGTTCAGCTTTTGGGGAGCTCGCTGAAAGCCATGGCTGCAATTCCCACTGTGATGGACAGCGAGTGCCCCGCCGGGCAGCGGGAAGCAAGTAGAGACCTCTCCCGTGCTGCCTCTTCAGAGGAGAAGGGTGAAGAATGGCTGAGAAGGTGGGTGGTGCAGCTGGTTTTCAGACACAGGGGGAGTGCTCCCTGTTTTATGCTGTCCCTCTGAATCAGCAGCATTCAACACCTGTCAGGAGCTGAATGCTGAAGCAGAGTCCCTGTGCTGGACGGTCTCCCTGGAAAACACACATCTCCCACTGCTGATATTCACAAGTCTCCCGGTGTGTTGTGCTGTTTACCACATGATATCCCAAGAAGCTCAGCTTGCTTCCTTTAAATCTCATTTTAAAACCTGTCCTTATTGTTACTGTGGAAAAGTTGGTAATAACAGCTTTGGAGCTACCGAGTTAAATGGAAATGAGCCCACA